ATGTCATTTTCTCAAGCAACCACCAAAACCAAATTAATGTGCCAATTGGTTAATCCCATCTATCATTTCTCAACTATATATATATTAGACGAACACGACGGTTCACAATGGTATGATATTATCCACTTATGAGCATAAACTCTCGTGACTTTGCTTTGAGCTTTCCCAAAATGCCTCATACCAATGGACAGAGTATTCTTTGTTTATAAATCCATGATCATTCCCTAAATTAGTCAACGTGGGACTTACATCATCGATCATAGAGAGAACAGTGTAAAATAAGAATTAAAGGGAAATGGATGAGTATAGGGAGGAAAAAGTGGAAGAAAAAGGAAGAAGCCAAACCCACATGGGGGTGGGCCCACTATAACCAAAAAGATTAAATGAAAATGATTTAATGGATTAATTATATATTTAAGATATGGTTTGGATTAATAAAGATTATGATAAAATGACCATATTCTATAAGCACATCTATGATGGGATTAAAAAGATAATATTCTTTAATCATCACCTATTATATTCTATTCTTGTTGCTAATTATTTCTATGATTTGGATTTAATTAGGGTTTTATGGTAATAAAAGTGATTAAATTAATTAATTGGGATTGTGTTGTCTTTGTCAAATGCAACAAGCTTACATCATCCATTATATATATTTTTTTAAAAATTAATTAATTAAAAAGAAAAAGATGATGATGAATGATGAATGATGAAGACATAAAGTTGTTTGATGAGGAAATCTATTTAATGTGTATGAAAAATATAAAATTGAAATGAAATGATGGGTTTGGCTTTGTTCCTACCAATGACAAAATAGCCTCTCTTTTATAAGCCCTTGCCCCGTTTTCGATATACGCAAACGGGCCACTTCGCCCCCACGAGGATTTAAAAGTGGGTCCCGTTATTTAAATGGCTCAAATTTCGTGTAGGAGTAGATTTTTTTGTGCTAAACGTTACAACGGTTATTCCTATGTGACATGACTGTGTTACTGTTCATTGAGATCCCCCAACGTAGGATTACTCTACTATGATTGAGCCACTGAAAATAAAGATGCACCTTATTGATATCATTTGAACGTGGTATGAGTGTTAAGAACAACGACCCTTTACATTGATGTGTTAACAACAACGACCCAAAAGGTCTCGTACCAATAGAGATAGTGTCTCTGAGTTATATACTCATGATCTTTCCCTTAATTAGTCAACGTGGGACTACTCTGGCAATTTTTAATTATGAGTTCATTCATATAACCCTAATTTACTCGAGCGTCAGTGTCAGTATGAAGCGGGGACGGAAGGGAAAACAACCCATGAAATTTGCTTAAGTGTATAAGATGAAATGTGGGGCTCAAATGTCACACCCAAACACCTTTTATATTTCAACATCCCACAACTTGCAACACTAATTCACCATCAAAACTTGGGTCCATTGCATATGATATGGATGTGATCACTATCTAATTTGTTAATTAGGATTATCCAATTAAATTCAAATAAAATAATTATTAAACGAGAACTAAATAACTAAAAATGAAAAAAATAAGTACGAGTTTGTATTCACGTTGAAGGTTCTTCAAAGGTATTACAACGTAACTTGTGAAGGGAAAAAAGGGTTATGATTTTGAGTTTCTTGGAGTGGAAGGAATGGAAAAGAATAAAGAAAGAAAACTAAAATAGATACGAGATTAGATGCGAAGAATCTCGTAAATCAAAGTGGTAAAGAAAAGGTTGAAAAGCTATAAAGAAATAGAGAGTTCATATGTTGAACCCGAGTAAATGAGAGGTATATGAATGAACTGAGACTATATTCGAATAAGAGTGATATTGAGTATACGATGACTAAAAAAGACACAAAGGAAGTTCCCGGGACTTATATGAGTGATGATAAAGCATGTTAGAAGAACTCGTATTGGTCTGTGGGAAAAGTTTTTACTTATAATAATAATAAAAAATAATATAAGCATTTTTATTAATTTAGTTATATATATATATGATTATTCATATAAATTCGGCCTATATTTCATCCAAGTAATTAGCTACAACTGGGCCGGAACAAACGGATCGGGCCCTGCTTTCTTGGGCTAGGCCACATCCACATATGGGCCCAATATGTAAGATTGAGCCCATCAAATAACAGCCCAACCACACAGGATATAATTGAAAAATAAAAAATAAAAAATTATTTTATTTTACTTTTGGGAAGGAAAACATTAAAATATTGTTATGTGATTATTAGTGCAAAGAGCTGGTAATGGTGGGATGTACACGTCAGCCGCCACGATGGATCAAATGATCTTTGCTGTCCATCACCTTCGCCGAAGCTCCCTTAACTTGCCGACCAAATATTATCGCTGCCCCCAAAACTTGGAAATTTCATCTCTGAATCGCGATTAGGGTTTTCTCTTCTGCTTCTTGATCGGTTCTTTTGTAAAGCTCTTGTACTTCGCGCTTCGATTAATTAAGGTTTGGCAACACTCTATTAATTTTTAGCGCTTTTCGTTATTTGAAACAATTCGGATCTGGATCTGTGATTTGTCGTTCGTCCGATTGGATTTAGCATGTTTTCTTTTCTAGGTGATTATTCTTCTGTTTAGCTATGAAATTCCATGTTGCTGTTGATGAGGAATTTATGTTTTCTTCACTTTTAGGGCATTTAGGCGATTTTGGGATACGATGGGGGCTTTCATTTCGAGATTCTGGTTCATGTTATTTCCAGCAAAAGAATACAAAATCGTGGTCGTTGGGTTGGATAATGCCGGAAAGACGACGACTCTTTACAAATTGCACTTGGGAGAGGTTGTTACTACACATCCTACGGTTGGAAGCAATGTTGAAGAGCTCGTGTACAAGAATATCCGATTCGAGGTACGGTCGATCTATTAATTTACTCCTATTTTGCCGTCTATTTGTTTTATCTTCTATGATCACTATTCCCATTGTTGGGAGTGAATTTGAAATTGACTAATGATCATGGATTTATAACTAAATAATATATGTTTATAGATATGAGGTCTTTTGGGAAGCTCAAAGCAAAGCCATGATTGCTTATTTTCAAAGTAGATAATATCATACCAAAGTAAAGCCATGATTGCTTAGGTTCATAGACAATATCATACCAAATCATGCCCTTAACTTAGTCAGGTTAATAGAATTCTCAAATGTCGAACAAAGAAGTTGTGAGCCTCAAAGGTGTAGTCAAAAGTGACTCAAGTGTCGAATAAATGGTGTACTTTGTTTGAGAACTCTAGAGAAGGAGTCGAACTTCGATTAAGGAGAGGTTGTTCGAGGACTCTATGTTGTATTTTGTTCGAGAGGAGGATTGTTGGGAGTGAGTCCTACATTGGCTAATTTAGGGAAAGGATCATAGGTTTATATGTAAGGAATACATCTCCATTTGTATAAGATCTTTTGGAAAAAGCCGAAAGCAAAGCTATGAGAGTTTATGCACAGAGTGGACAATAATATCATACCATTTTCTATTCTTCGGAGCGTTGGCTTGTGTGGTTTTGCACTGGAATCTTTGAGATCTTTGAATGCTCCGGCCTGTTGGTGTAGAGTTGTCACTTGATTTTGTGAGCCAGTGTATTTATAGCATTTAACTGGTAACTTCTCAAAATATCACAAAATGTGCAGCTTTTCTTAAGGAAAATTTTGGGCTGATTTGCATTGTGATTTGAGTGTGGTTGCCTCTATATTTGGCTTGTTTATTTGCCTAACAAGGAAATTGAAACACAGAATAGTTGTTGGAAAAACATATACAATGCAGTTATATTCAAAACTTCGTACAGAACCCATCTCAGTTCTTCATTTTATAAGGCGAAGCTGAACAGTTAAAACCTGTGTTGTTTTGGCTTTGTTTTCTGTAGGTATGGGATCTCGGTGGTCAAGAGAGGCTTAGGACATCATGGGCAACATATTACCGTGGAACTCATGCTGTGATTGCGGTGATCGACAGCACAGATAGAGCAAGAATCAGCATTATGAAGGACGAGCTCTTCAGACTACTCGGTCACGATGATCTTCAGCAATCTGTGGTGCTGGTTTTTGCAAACAAACAGGACCTTAAGGATGCGATGACTCCGGTCGAAATCACCGATGCTCTTTCGCTTCACAGCATCAAGAATCACGACTGGCACATCCAAGCCTGCTCTGCCCTCACCGGAGATGGTCTATACGACGGTCTTGGGTGGATTGCTCAGCAAGTTACCGGTAAAACGCCGAGTTGATAAGGTAGTCGCTGCTTGTGGGATTCATTCTTACATGTAATCTTGTGGTTATACCCCTTTCAATTCCATTTTGATTTCAGAAAGTTGTGTACTAAGTTAACAAAAAATAGATCAATATAAAAGAATTTGAATCTCTCGAGCTCTCGAACCATCGATCCCAAGCTGGATTTACTGGGTCGAGAGTTCTGGCGAAAACCGAACCAAAATGAATCAGAATGAGCAAATGGGAAATGAATAAGTCTAGAACAGAACAGAGAAAGAACAAGAACCACCTCTTGAAATCTAGCCTCTTGCTCGAGCCGCTTCATTTCGACCAGCAACATATGTTTTTCAATCTTTTCAACTCAGTTCTTGTCAATATGTGTGTCTCTTTCTCCTTCCAAATCTTTGGTTTAAATTCATTTTTTTTCTAATTTTATTGTTATTTTAAGAAAGCAACACAAAATTTTCTTAAAAATTCGTTCGTTTTAATGAAAATCAAATTCCAACTTAAAAACCAATGTTGGAATTATATAGTTTAGAAAACATCATAATTTTAAAATTTATTAGAGTTTGATTTAATAAAATCACAAAAAATAAAATATTTGACTAATTCTTATATTTAAAATTATAGGCATTAAATTTTATTTTTCTCGCAATGATAACAATTAAATTTATTATACAGTGAACAAGTAAAAAGAAGATTGTTATGGTACCGTTGTTTTTCCAAGGTAAATTAGCTGATTTGATGGATGTAAATATCCCACATCGGAAAATGTGGGATAAGTATAATAATATTTAAACCTAAATATGAAGGCATTAGAGCACGACCTTACTTGAACAGGATCTGTTCTATAGGTTGTACAACTGTGTCCTTGAGTTCTAAGGAGACAAGAACCATAATCTGGTGGATGAACCACTGCCCTGCGGCTAGAGCGTGATTAACAGTCCAACGATCCATTGGATCTGCGGCGGTAGATGATCGTTCTCGCAAGGCTTCGCCCTAGCTGGGATGGTCGCAAGGCGGTCTGACAGATTAACCAAACATTTTTCTTTACCTCTCTCTATTTTTGGTTTTTGTTTGAGCTCTCGTTTCCTTTTTGAATCTGTGTTGAACATTATGCCTGAAATCTAAAGATTTGTTGGTTTGGCAGTGGATTCAATTTGGGTATGTCCGCTATCTTCTTCTGCTGCGTTGTTTGAACTCTGATGAGAGAGATTTGGGATCGATTTCAGTCTCAATTACTATATCAAATCATGTCTATCTTTAATGTTAACCAAGATGCAGAGTAATGCGAAAAGTGGACAATGTCCAGTTCATGCCCCTTACCTGTTTGTTGAAATGCCTAACAGACCTGCAGTTGGTTTCTTCATCTCCAAC